GTGTGTGTGTGTGTGTGTGTGTGTGTGTCTGTCCTTATTGTTTCTTTCGGTCTTTGTTTGTTGGCTGTGTGTATGTGTTTGCCCTTTGTGTTCATAGACACTGTTGCGGGGACTTGGCAAATCTTTGGTCTTGGCAATTTTTTCAAGTAGTGACATGGGAGATCACCTACGTGAGCAGTGATGACGAGGTCCTGCTATATATTAAATAAGAATAAAATATATTGTAAAGTCATGCATCAGTAAATATTCTGCTAAGAACATACAAGGTGTGAAATAAACGATACAGCAAGTGGCCATTGGTAAGCACAGTACTAGAAGTCTAGCCCCCATAAAGGACCTTTGCAGTATCATACAAATGCTTTCTTAAAGATATTTACAGTACTTGATACTAAAATGATTCTCTCTCTCTTTTTCTCTCTCTCTTTCTTTCTTGTTTTTGAAGAATGAAAAAAGTGAGAACAATGAATATTTCCTATTTCTGCAAACCCAAGGCCTTTGGAACCACTTAAAACTTTAATCCCCATCATTTTTTTCTATGCATCATCTCTTGTTGTCAACAATACCTTCTGTAGTTTGTACAGCTGGACAAAAGCTAATAGTCACCCCATTTACCCAGAAATTGGCAGGGAAAAGCCCAGTGATGGTGATTTACGATCGAGTTCAGTAGAAGCCCAGTGACGTTTTATTGATTTACTGCATTCTGAAACAGATTTAATCTGCAGTGGCAGCAAAGAAAACTGGATAATAAGCAGATGCAACGAGAATATCTCCGACATTTCACATTCAGCTAAAGAGACTTTGAAGTGGAGTTCTTCCCATAATGCCGCTGCTTCTTGGTTAGACCACCAAGTGTAAAGATGGAAACAGATGGTGCCGACATGGCCAAGGAAGGAAAGTCAAGGGTTCCCGGCTTTCCTTTGCATCCAAGGAAGTAACTCTATCCTCCACTTAAACAATTATTTTCTTCCTCAGATCGGTATAGATATGATTAACCTCAAAATGTTGTGTGCACAACTTTAGTTACTGCAATTCTACAGCAGTTCTAAAGGTAATGGATGTAAATGAAAATAGAACACAGACAAATATTTGAAAAGGCCTATGTCACACTAAACCACATAATTTGATTTGTGGAAGAGGTAATTTAAAATGCCATTCTATACTGTTGATATTCAACACTACCTTAATCAGAATTTCCCCTTGTCACCTGTCATAGCCAATATGTACTTTGGTTGGTACCTTGGTGCTTGGCTGTGTAATTTTTAGTTTGTTAGTTTATGAGACAGGGTCTCCCTCTGTTGCCCAGGCTGAAGTGCATCGCATGGTTAGAGCTCCCTGCAACCTTGAACTCCTGAGTTCAAGTGATCCTCTTGCCTCAGCCTCTGAAAGCACTGGGATTAGAGGCATGAGCCATAATTTTCTTTCTTTTTAAAGTGAATGTTGTGCTGGGTACTGAGCATTCTTCTGCACTGTTGATATTGTAGAAACTGAAGTTATCATTTGAACTTTCTCTGAGACTAACCAAGAAACAATTTTTAGCATAAAAGACAGTCAATTCAAAATGGTGGCATTAAAAAAAAAACAACCCAGAGAAGTTAACAACAGTACACACGCAGAAAACATGTAAAATCAGAAGCGATATCAGTGCTCCCCATCAAGTAAGTGCTCATAGACTGCTCACTACTGAATTTAGCACTAGTGGGAGGGTTACCTGAGACAGAGAAGACAGCGCCACTGATTTAAAGAATTTACAGTTGTCTTGAGGGAGAGAAAAGCAAAAGGAAGGAGGAACTGAACTCCGCCTGGTGAAGCAGCATCTTCAGCTCCCTAGATGTGCAAGCGCCACAGGTGCAGGAGCCCGCTGTAGACGGTGTGTGAGAATAAGGCTCTCGGAGGAGATGGGACTTTCAGTCTGTCCTGAGAAAGTGAGGGATTTAGGAAGCAGAGGACGGCTTCAGGTTGGGTTACCTAGAAGTACCTTTGATATTATCGTGGCCTTGAAGCTGGGAGTGAATAAACTGAGGATTTCAACAGCTTCAACCGTGGTTGTTGGGCAACATGGGAAAGTGGTTAGCCGGACCATGGACAGCCGCGGGGGGGTGTCTGTCAATGACTGTGAGCACAGTGGTTTGTGATCTGGAAACCATTAAAAATTTCTTAAGGCAGATTCTCTAGTGCTTGACTTCCAATCCAGGAATTTCTATGACTTGATCAATTTTTCTGGTCTTACTTTCCCTGGCTGGAAAATGGGAAAAGAATTTCTGTAATCTGCATCAAAGAGTCAACGTGAAGCTGAAGGAGTCATGAGCATGACCGTGTTCTGGAGGCTGCGGCAGACCACGCGGAAGAGCTCAGTTCACACCACAGTGCTCTGTGGCCTAATGACTCAAATTAGATTCCTCGTGATAGACAGTACATCTTTCAGGCTACAGGAAGATTTACTGTCGGGATGGTAACACCATTATCTGGATTATTTTATTATAGTTGAAAAAAGTAACACGGAGTTTTCCTCTACCACCTGGATCAGACAGCACAGGTGAGACAAATAGCTTCTCTTTCAACTGGCAAGGAGAAAGCCATGGCTTTTAAAGGCTCTGTCTCCTGTAGTTCTTCATGCTGTCCTCCTCAGCCTCAGGGGGTCTCTGGGCAGCCGCATTCCTGTCTGTCTTTGTACAAGACCAACATCAGAGACTCTTGGACAGGAGCGAGATGTGGACAGTGAGCCAGAATGATTTGGATGAGAAGCCAGGTGAAGTGACCCCTGCCTCCTGTTAGCCTGGGCAGCACAACGGCTCACTCAGTGGAGACTTTCCATTACCTGCTTGCTGGCTGTAGAAATATTTTTTTTTCTTTGTACCCTATCAACAATCCCTGATGAGATGATCCAGGGCACAAACCAGTTGGTACATAAACAGTTACGTATGTGTGCATCCCTAAGGCATCAGGGAAGCGGCAAACTTTTCTCATGATCCTTCTCTGACCTGACCATTTGGTGACAAATACTAATTCGTATTTTCACCTAGATTTAAGATAGCTTCTTTGAAACTAACCTACACGGACATACATCTACACATACACTTTAAAAACCACAAGCCTATGTCATTAAACCTTTTCCCTTTGTTAACAAAGTCCAATTGTACTGTGATTTATTCTCTGTGGTTAAGTTGAATTTGATTACCCAAGATCTTTAATCGCTTTTTGAAGTTTTCCTAAGTCTTTGCTGAGGCTTTTCTTTTCTCTTAATCTCTGAAATGTTAATATAATAAATGTGCAGGGCTGTTTTCTAAGATGACCACTCCCCAGAGGGATGAAGGATGACATTTTCTGAGTCAGGAATGATGCGGATGGTATGAGGAAGCTGGGAGAACTTCCTACTGAACTTCCCACAAAGTGAGGGCAATCTCCCAGCTTTCCTCAGCCAGAGAATTTCTTAAGACTCCTCTGGAATAACATTTCTAAAGGTCTATGACACCGCTTTCTTGCTCCCCAGTGGAGGTGAGGGGTGAGGGAGTTGACAGAATTCACCCCTGTCACAGGACAGGAGGAAGTGTTCCCTTTAATCACTGGCTGTCACCTCATGTTTGCAGGTTACCTTAGCCCCCTACCACAAGGACGAGGGTCCCGAGGACAGTCCAGGAGATGCAGGAGGGTGTAGCTAGATGTGAATGGAAGGAAGCCTGAGTGCCATTCCAGGAGCTCAGCCAGCCTGCCCAGGAGTTGGGGGGTGGGGAGGGCCTGGGGCTGGGACTTCCCAGGTTACAGGGGAAAGAGAGGGTGGAAGCCGACACTGGGAGCCACCTTACCTTCCATCCCAGGTGGCAGCTCTGGGTCAGTGGGGACCAGAGCAGGCCTGTGGAAGCAGCCTTGGTCTCTAGCTGTCATAGAACTGGATGGCTCCTGAAGCATGGGGGGCACACGAAGATCTAAGGATAACCAGAGTGTGTCTTGCTGCCAAATTGATTCAACCTTTAGACCAAACTTCCAGATGAGCCCCTCAATCTCTTCTACCTCCCACAGCTTCTCTAAATCCTGCCAAATACACCCCTGGCTGAGGAGCCAGGACTGGGCAGGCTGGGCTCTGGGGCCGCTTCAGTCTACCCTCATCCCTCTTCCCCCAAGGAAGACCACGACCTCTTCTAACTCAACAGGATACTGAACTGCCCAGCTCCGGAGGGCATTTTTCCGGGGCCATTTGCTGGGCGATGTAGAAGATTTGTTTGTTGAACGGCTTGGCTCACAAGCTTGCAGAAGTAGGAGTCTGGAATTTCCAGTACGCAGCCTCCACTTGGAGCCTGTTTGGGTCACTGACTTCCAGTGGGAGCAGAGACACTTCCACCACGTTGGTCTCTGAGGTTGGCTGAGGTGCCAGGGAACCTAGAAGGACCTGCCTGCAGGGAGGAGAAGCAAGTTCTTTCAGGTCCGAACAACTCCACGGAGGGCCTGCATTTCCGTAATAATAACACTACTAATTAGACAGGGTTTAAGACATTCAGATATTTTTCAGAATGCAAAGCCGGGGCTATTTTAGTGTCCGTCTGTCTCTCTGGATGGCGCCCAGGAGCGCCGTCCCGCAGAGGCGCTGGCCCCGCAGCCCCGCCGGCCCGGCCCGGCTGCCCCGAGGCCGCCCTCCCGCCGCGCAGGGAGGGACCGCGAGTCCTCCCTGACGGGCGCCGGCCGCGCCTCCCGCCACCCTGCTCCCCGCCCGCGCTGCCCCGCTCCCCCTCGCCAGCCCCCACTTACCTCCCAACCCCCATCCCAGAGACCAGGGAATTTCCCTCAACATCAGCCCAAACTTGAGTTTCCTGCTGGGGGAAGGGGGTGCGGATAAAAGGAGTGCGGAGGGCACCCGGCAGCCACAACCCTCTGGAGCCTCAAATCTGCGCGCCCTCCCAGGCTCTAGAGCCCGCACCTCTCCGGCCGCTATGCGAGTCCTGCCCAGAGGCGTCGCCCGCGTCCCCGGCCCCTCGGGCTCGCTCTGCGCACTGATCGCGCTGCTGCTGTTGCTGCTGACACCGCCGAAGCCCCTCGCCCACGGTGAGAGCGCGTCCCGCCCGCGCCCAGCCTCGGGGAAGAGCGCTCCCCGCCACCTGCCCTATCACGGTGTTTCTCTTTCTTCCCTAGCTGGTCCTGTCGCCGCTGTGGTGCAAGAGCTGCGCTGCATTTGCTTAAAACCCTCTTCGGGAAGAGTTCACCCCAAAAACATCGTTGACGTGCAGGTGATCGCCTCAGGGCCGCAGTGCTCCAAGGTGGAAGTGATGTAAGTTCCCGGCGTGTGGCCCCACTGTGACCCTGGCAGGAGGCTGGGCCCCCAGCCTGGGCCCGGGTCTTCACCCCTGTGGCTCACGGCGGCGGCGCCCTCTTTTTTTCTCTGCAGAGCCACCCTGAAGAACGGGAAGGAACTCTGTCTGGACCCAGAAGCCCCTTTGATCCAGAAATTCATCCAGAAATATTTGAATAGGTACTTGCCAACTTGACCTTTGTGGTTTCTTAATCTCTTCTAGGGACAGGGTCGTCATTCTCTCTGGAAAGTCTGGGTTACCTCATTTCAGACTATGCTTAGAATTAAAAGGTTGCTAAGAAGAGAGAGGAAAGGTTTCCTGGGGGGGCCTTGGGAAAACCCTGACCACCAGTCACACATGCGAGAGCGCCAACACCGAGTCCTCACCCCACAGACTTTTCGTCTACCCTTTGTTTTTATTGGACTTTATTTTCATTTTCGCCAAATGTTTTTAAAACTGTGTTTTGGATAAAGGGTTGGAGAAGAGAGAAGTGTGAAGTTTGGTTAACCCATGCGACTCTTTTCTCAGCAGTGGAAAGAAGAAAAACTGATTAAGAGCAAGAACTGGGCGCTGGAAATCCTGCCCGGTCTGCAGCAGAGCAGATTCCGGGGGTCTCTGGACCCAGAGAAGATGGGAAGGGGGGCTGACTTTCCCAGCAGCCAGCTTTCTCCCGTCACACACTTTGAAGAGGGGAGGGAAAGCCAGTTGGTCCCTGAAACTTTCAGCACAGCTCATACAGTATTTTAGCATTGTGTTTCCTGTAATATCTTGCTATTTTATTTGCTATATTATTAGAATATGTGATAATTAATTATATTGTGAGTAAAGAATCGCTGGTTGTTAGACTTCAAAGTGTCTTGAAGCGACTGTTGTATTTCTAGAATATTTTTTAATAGTGTAGCTGAAAAGGCTGTGGATGGATTTCGTATGGGATTGATGTTTTACTAAGGTCCTGTTAGGGGCACACCCTGTGACCCCTGCTCTCCACGTTGTAGAGTTGTTTCTTGGGGCTGGGAGGGTGTGGAAGTTGCAGTGCCTTAGGAAGCTGGGCATCTTATACCACTGTCTGTATGGAATGGAGTTCCTTATTTAGAATGTCTAAACATTGAAGTTCTATAAGGACGAATATATTCTCTTCATATCATTTTAGACATTTAATGTCTTCTTCGTATGGCATAGTGTCAGGATTTACTCATCGAACTGATATCATCTGCTGTTTATGATGTTACCAGAAATGCTGTGACTGTGGCCACTGATTATATGTTTTGAATAGATGAAGAAAGTAGGAAACAGGTAAATTCATGACTTCTACGTTTTATAGAAATGCATTCTTTTAGTCTTTGTAAAATAAAACAAACTTAATATTGATCTACTATGAAAGTTTTAAAAACGTATTCTACTTGTGTAAAAATTCATTCTTTGGTCTTTAAAAAATAGTGTATCTTTTAAAGGTTTTGGCAATTCTGTGAAAAGGCATCACATTTGTATCACATCTACTATATTAAAATTGCATGTTTTATTGTGTCTCCTCAGTTGGTCATATTTTGTTCTTTGGGAAAAAAAATAAAAGACTTCTAAACTTACATGTTGTTCCTCCTTTCTTATATTGTTATAATGGATTTTATTTTTCTTTAATTCTACGTTACTTTTTAAAAAATTCCCTCTGCTCCTCTGTGTCCAGCAGAGAGGGTCCTCCCTTCTCAGTCTGGGGCAGACTTGGTCCAAGACCCCTTCCTTTCCAGTTCCTCCTTTCTTAGCACCACTGGCCTCAGGGGGCCTTTACAAGACACAACAGGCTTCCCTATCTTCAATCCTTACCACTCCCTAGTTCCCAGACAGGGGATAAAAATTGCTGTGTGGCACCTGCAGTCCCTTCTCATACAGCACCTTCAACTTCCCTGCTCCCTCCCCTCTCCCACAGTTAGGCCCTGAGTTTCTTAGCAAGCATGTGACTTGGCGGGTCCTCACCTTTGCACCTCTACCTGGAAGGAACTTCTCTCTCTTCTGCTCTAAGGGAGGGAGCTTACTCACCCCTCAGAGCGCACCTCTGTCAGGATGCTGACACACCCAGCAAAGCTCCTGCTCTCCATTTTGATGTTCCTGTAGTATCTTCTAGATGCCGGAATTATAAAATTATATTGCCTTGGTGTTATTTCTTTATAAAATCCTTCACCCTCATTACTAAGTGCTCCCCAGGGCATCAAACATGTTCCAAGCATCTGCATCTCCCTGGCCTGGCACAGGGAAGTTACGTTGACACACAATTGTCAGGTAGTGTTCTAAAATTGATGACCTGGCTCACGGTAGGAGTTGGCTAAATTATAATTTCTTACCCTCTTCTCTCCTTCTTGTCTACAGGCAGTGCCACAAGGCCTTTGGCATACGCAGTCCCCTCAACCCGTCACATCTACCTCTCACTGACACCTGGTGAGCTCCCATCCCCTCTCCTTTGGGAATAGCTCACTGGTCATTTTCTGGAGGCCACCTCTCTAACTCTTCCTCCTACCAGATAAAGGCCCCTTTCCTACCCTCTCATAGCATTTTGTGCTCATTTTTTATTTTATTTATTTATTTTTTAAGACAGAGGCTCACTTTGTCTCCCTGGGTAGAGTGCGGTAATGCCATAGATCACAGCAACCTCAGACTCTTGGGCTCAAGAGGTCCTCTTGCCTTGGCCTCCCAAGTAGCTGGGACTACAGGCGCCATCCTCATGCCCAGCAATTTAAGAGACTGGGTCTGGCTCTCTCAGGCAGGTCTGGAACTCCTGAGCTCAGGCGATCCATCTGCCTCGGGTTCCTAGAGAGCTGGGATTACAGGCATGAGCCACTGTGCCTGGCCCCTGTTCTGTGCTTATTTACAGAACATTTTCTGACCACAGAGACTGGAGTTTACAGAACCAATGTACATGTGTTCTTTAGTTTCTCCTCTATCTACACCAGCTTCACGGAGATCTCTGTGTGGGCAGGGATGATGTTTACCACATTCACCTCAGTTCCTGGGACAGTTTCTAGCACACAGTAGGTACGTGAGTAGATGACTGAGCTAGGCTAACCAAGTTCCACTTCTTCTCAAATATTAAAATGTCAACTCCCTATAAATAGCCCACTCTTAAGTAAAGCAAGAAAAGGAAAGGAAAAAGGCTAGTCAAATCAGCACAAACTCACACTGCAATCCGGTTAACATATGATATAATATATGCTTATAGCGACATTATTTGCATATATTAGAATATTCTAATACACCATCAGCATATCTACCTGTATTCAGGTTTTTCTGTATCTTTTGATTTCTGTCCTCACGTATAAAACGTCCATTAGATTATTGTTTTCTCTTGTTATATATTGATACATCTCTATAAGAGTAAAAAGACAGATACAAAGACCCAGAAAAACCTAGAGCAGGTTTCACATAGATGTGTATGCTCACAATTTTTTCAGTGATTTTGAAACCTAAAAAATACCTCTAATTATTTTTAAAAGAGTTAAACTTCTGGGGTATCTCTTTGCTTTCTCAAATAGTATCCCCCCCCCCAAACCTATGAACTATCCACTAATCTTGGGTAAACACTCAAAAACAAATCACCAGAAATGTATGAACTCTAAACTTCAGTGTTTTAAGACTCCTTGATTTGTTCTATTGCCCTGGATTGAATAATAGTTGATAGTAATAAATTAAAGTATATCAAACACACTTTAGATGTGTAAAATATAACTTTTGTGAGGAAATAGACATTACTGGTAACTTTTACTTAATTGCCATTTAAAGTCTTTGCTTCTCCCCTAAGCAAAAGTTATAAGTTTCATTTATACATAGACCACAGAATAAGACCTATTTATAATGTGACTGCAGTTCTAGTTGTCAAGTCTGTAACGGGTCACTCCAGAAGGAAAAGAGAGAATAGTGTTATTACCAAAGAGTAACCTCTACCAGAGCCTTGGTGACAGCTGCTCATATTATGACCACTGCTAGTTGATCCTGCCACTAGCAAACTCCAGCATATCTGGGGAAAACTAATCTACTGTGTGTCTTCTAGGGATATGTCTTGGATCACTTCAAATTGAACAGGTGCTGAGCTGAAATCCACTCTGTGTCAGTGCTCCACTCAGGCAACTTTCTACATGCTCATATCCTTCATTCCACCAGACTTTCCTGGTGTGACACAGGCACATAATCCTTCAGTTCCTGAAGGTATCACCAGACCCATGATAGTATATGACTAGTGGCCTTGTTTTTGTATCATAGTTTTAATTCTTGCATAAGGAAAAGAATTACTATTCTCACGTATAGTCAAAGTCCTTCCTGGATGTTACAAAATGAAAAATTTACCAGACCTGAAGAGCACCTGGGGAATTCTAGTTGCCTCCCTGACTGAATCAAGGATGAGAAGGCGAGTGCACCATGATTCTGACTGTGGCTGACACTTCTGGTTCACTCTTAGCACAATTAGTATCATATTATCAGGAAGGATTGTTCATGCTTCAAATATGTAAGCGGAGATAATAACAGAGAGAGTCCTAGGGTTTACGTTTAAAATTTTGTTTTTACCAATTCTAGAGTCCTATTTCTTAAACACAGAGAAATCACAAGGACTTTCCCTGGAAAATCTACCTACTGAATGGATGTTTCCCCTCATGTAAATTCCTGTTTGTGTTTTACCCATCTCTAGGATTGGGCAAAGAGAAAACCCAGTTGCCTTGTTTGCTGCAAGAGAGGCTAGTCTTACTTCTCCACAGTTGGTGGGGCAGTGCACAGAGTAATTTCAAGTTTAGTTCTGAGTATGTCTACCCATGTGAGACTGACGATTTTTTTAACATCTGTATTCCTCTGTTTTCTCATATCTAAAATCAATATAATAATACCTATCTTACAGGCACCTGGAACTCCATAAATGCCTGATAGACACTTGTTTCCTTCCCAAGTCCTCTAACTCAAACTTCATTTTACACATGAGAAAACCAAAAACCCTACTTTTAAATCTATATTTCACGTACCTAGTTTTTAGTGCTCCTAAAAAGTTGTTTCTATGAGTCTTCTTAAAGAAGCATCTTTGTGTATTTTGTATATATTCCCTGTCAGTTACATAGTAACTACAAAAAATGTGTGCATTTTTGGCAGCACCTGTAGCTCAGTGGGTAGGGCACCGGCCACATATACCAAAGCTGGTGGGTTCAAACCTGGCCCACCAGCTCAAACAA